TTAGCACCATTCGATTCAGCGACGTCGAATTACCTTTGTATCAAACTGTCGAGAACTTCTACCTGAAAGTTTTTCCTTCACCTCTTATTGACTGGACTATTATATTTGTTATTTATAGTAGTAATGCGCTAGCATTTTTGTGAAATGCAAAGAAATTCTTTAAAGTCATATTCTTTGCTTTTCCTCTTTATTTTTTCTTTTCTTTTCCCTTTTAAGTGAGAAATTAATAACTCTTAAGGTCACAAAAACAAAAAGTATGTTTTTCGTTTCCCATTTAAATAAAAACAAAAAAACGAAAAACTTTATCGTCTGTACTATCACAGTGTGTGGCGTTTTATAACAGATTCGCGCTCTAAGACTAAGGCAAATTCAATCTTCACGTTAAACCGGAGCTGGGGAAGCAACAATACGACATTAAATACAACGATTTTGATAAACGACAGTACGAACTACCCTTCTGATAACAATATACAACAGGATATGTATGCAACCAATAAAACAAGTATCAAGAATTCACTGAAATCTTCTTCAAAGGACGAAAGAAAATGCAAAAGCCATACGAGTCCCAACTCTACCGATGATGATGATATAATTTATAGTCAAATGACACTTGTAAAATCGAATGAAAGAAACTCGAAAAGCACAGGTTCTGTTACAGTTAAAAAAACTATTAATAAAAGTTCGTCAGTGGTAGGATTTCGTTCAACAAAATCGAGCGTGAATCAACGTTCTGCGCCTGGAAAAAAGAAAGTATCGAAATATCATTGGTCCGGCACTTTTTCCGATAAATCCAAAAAATATAAACTTCTTAATGATAGCAAATACAAATACTTGCCATGTGATAGTAATAAAAATCTATGCGACGCATTGACTGTAACAACTTGTAACAATAACTCTAATATTTTCAAAGATAAGCAACCAGTGACAAATACAAGTATATTTCACTCAAATGAATTTACTTTAAATGACCGAGTCTTTAAGGGTATCGAAAAAACAGATAAACAATTATTCAATAATAATTATCAGTTACCCGTCAGCAATTGCCATACAGAAGAATTTGACTTGCATAATAATATCAAATCTGATCAGGACAATAACATTAAAGAAGATATATGTTTGAATTATGACATTTATTCCGATCGTAATATAAATTTGAGATCCAAGCTGGTGCGAGAGGATGAAAAACCAAATACTAGTACAAAAAACGTACAGAAGAATGACTTTTATGTATCTAACAGCAGTAATCATTTCGCTGGAGATAACAAATTTTCTTCTATTAAAGTTAAAGAAGATCTAGTATCTTGCAATAATTTTGAATGTTGCAGAAACTCGGCAAAATGTTGGGTCAATTTGAAACTTAAAGATAAAACGTCTCACTTTAACAAACAAGCTGGCTCTCCTGTTTTTCAACCATTTTACAGAAAATTATTAACCTTTATCTTCATTGTTATTAAAAATATAATTTTACTTTCATTCTTGCCAACCATTTATATTGCCTTTATTATGTATGTACAAAGTAGGCAAGAATGAGAGTATGTAGTTATTAATTTGAACAAAGGAAATCTTAATACTATCGTTTAAAGTAAACACCACAAACAACGATTTTAATTTAATGATTTAGAATCTATTTAAATCAAATTATATTAAATTACTAAACGATAAACATTAATCACATTAAATCGCAAACAAATAATGATATGACTATAATATTGAAAAGTAATTGAAATAATATGAGTACAGCTGGAATGCTTCGGCATATCTTTTAATTTGATAACCAAATACAAATTTTGAGCGTTTGACTTTTCTACTTAAGTTCAGTTGCATGCACATGAATATGTTTTTGTCTCTTTTTTTTTCCATGGATAACAATAACAAGACAAATTTATAGTTTTCTTAAGTTACATTCCAATTTTTTAAGTGGATCTATGTGTGATTACATATTTACATTTAATATAAGATTTTTTATCAATGTTTTTCTTTTTTTTTTATTTTATACACGGAAAAAAGCATGTTATTGTAAGACGATATTATTAACAATTCGTTTTACAAAATCTTAAAGAATAATATTTGTAAATCGTATTTATGTTATGAATATTTATTTAAATTCATTCCAGAAAATGCACTATCATAACTCTTGAAATTATTTACCATCGAACTTAAACTTGCAGCAAAAAAGAAAAAAGAAAAAAGAAAAAAGAAAATTAGTCGTTATTAGAACGAAATACAACTTAATCACTGTAAAAATTTAATTCGAGAATTTTTTAAATATAGACTAACTTATTGACTAAAATGCCAGGACACTTACAGATTTCAGAAGGAAAAGAACAAAGTTTGAGTCACCCTGCCTAAGGAGCTTCTCGTTACATAGACGTCTGATAGAAAGAAAACTATTTTCGGATGGTACGACAAAATATGCGATAAACAATTCTATATAAATATCACAAAAAGCAGCTTGTACATTATAATTATACATATACTAATTACATATGCTCCGCGAAATAATCATTATATCGGTGAATTCGATGCCAATTCAATCTAGTCAATCCCCAAAAATAATGTTTTTTGACGATATTAATATACTACAACAAAGATATCATTCATTTCAGAATAACTGATGAATATATTTCGAATCTTTAATTCTAGAATTTTTTTTCAAGACTTAATCAAATTTTCGTGGTATGCAACAACTAAATAATGTGTTCATTTAATGCCAATAATATATTATGCTCAATTATAGATCACAATAGTAAAATTATTTATCAAAATGTCTCTGGAAGAATAAACTCAACTTTTTTCTTTTCTCTTATAATGTTCTCTTCTTCTATTGCGCAGCATTCCGCAAGATTGTTTAGTGCATTTTCACATGAAATTAATCTTCTTCCACTATATAAGCCACCACTACACATATACGAAAAGGTAAATTATTTTCAAATTATTATTGGTGCGTTGAAAAAGTAGCTATATGTACTCTTTAATTGCCGATATATCATTTATGTGTAATGTATAAAAAATCAAGATTATTGTTAATAAATATTATTTTTGTGTGGATTATACCCCTCTATAACAGCTATATTTTATTTGTGCTAATTCAATGTATTTTAGTAGAATGAGACACGATGTCAGTCATAGTAATAGCATGTCAATGATAAAAAGCTGAGCACAATTTATTCTCCCAAACAATTCCATGGTAATTAACAATTGCATATTTATTTGGAAAAATAACGCAATATGTTAAGTGAAGTTAAAATAAAAATAAAAGGACTTCTGTGTTCTCGTTATTGATATAAAAAAGTTAAAAGAAGAAAATGCAAAGGAATCAAACAAAAATAACGCTTAAATCCTGTTAATGAAATTAATCGTTTGCTTTAAGATTAATCAACATAACTACTTAGATGTTCAATAATGACAGGACACATACGATAATGGACTAAATAATAACTGACTAAAAAAACAAAATATGTAAGATATCAAGAGTGAAACATTTGTAATACGTAGATATTAAATCAAAAACAAACAAAAAACACATTCACACAGGCATTTGTAAATTATTGATGTATAAATAATCTGGAGTGTCACAGGGTTGGTTCTCTGCCAAATCATCCAGAATATCATTTTGTGATAAAAACTTTTAACTCTGAACTTCCTACCTTCATTCTTAGATTTATAGCTCTAGGCTGACAGATATAAATGTTATCTGTTACAGCGTATGCCCAGAAATGGGAGCAGTTGTTGGTGCAGCAACGTGACAGCCTGAACGCTGCATTGGACCAAGTCAGTCAATTCCGAAGCCAGTTACTGCAAGAAGAACAAATCAGTCAGAAGATGACGCGAACGCGCAACTCGCGATATAATTAAAGACGAGAAAATATAAAAGCATACATACATTACCGGAAGGAAAGACGCCAGCAAACAACTTGTAAAAGACGCCCACATCGTGTCCTCCTCTTGTCGCGTGTCAACTCTTTCTACCCTTAGAAGAGTCGGAAGTAACAGTGTAATTTCATTGTCTGAGATTAGCACAGTTACCTAACTGTATACACATATTATCGACACACCTTTCTTGCCTTTTGATATAAGAACAAAAATACTCTCTTTTTCTACCTATCTTTTTCTTTCTTCTCTCTATTTTATTCCAAATAAAATCAAGAGAAAGGATCCTATTTTTTCAAATATCAGTAGAAGAAGAACGATATAAATATTATATTAAAAAAATAGAGAAATCTTTTCGAAATATAACTACATTTGCAGTTTTTTCCAGGAAAAGAGACCGTCAATACTTTACTTTTTAACGTCACATTTTAATTATTGGTAATGATATTTCGATGTTCCTTTAAGAATCACTTATACTGATTATAGTCAGACTATACCATTTATGTAACTCATTGACGAGAAGAAATCTGCAAGATTACAATAAAAGGAGCAAAAATTCGAACAACGTTAAAAATAACAAAATATCAAAACAAAATTAGTGGTAATATCTAATGTAATTGATGATTATTTTCAAGTCAAAACAGAACACCCGTCCGATTGGATTAACGATGATTTTTTTAACAAACCGTATTTTTTATAGTATTTGAATATACCTGCTATTACCGAACTTGAAATTTTTAGATTAATTATCGCCTTTTCTTCTCGATCTATATTTATTACATACGTGTTTTTAATTTCCGTCAATTTTTTGTAATTATTTCTCGTCAAAATGGTAAGATCGTGCACGTCGTTTCAAGAGTTCGTTCTGCGATCCACTTACTGGTGCATAATTTTCGTTTTACGGCGATATTTTAAAAGGTATATCGTAACTTCCACATCGATACAATAAATAAACATTACAAAGATCACGATATTTTCACAATTATGCATACATACCATAATATTTAACTGTTTCATTTGTTTGTCTAAAGGTACTGTGATAAAGTAATTTTGCTCGCATTGTTTTTCCTATATCGGTGAAAATTGTTCACCATTCTCTTTTTTAAATTGATCACTTTCGTTCTAATCCTACATCAAACTAAATGAGCTGTATCAAAAGTTGGAAGATAATCCTCGCTCCAAGACAAAACAAGAAATAATAATAGTATTATTATAGTAATAATTTAAAAAAAAAATTAAAAAGACAAGAAGAAAAAAGGAGAAATAAATGAAAATGCTGGTACTTTGTGTAGTGATTAGTGTGGTTGATAAAATAACGCGTATGTACTGTACTAGAAATTAACCAACTAAAAATTCAAACAAAGTGATGCATATAAACAAATTAATATGTATTTAAGAATATATTATAACAGCTAAGGAGAAAAGCAAATAATAATAATGATAATAAAAAATACATTAAAAAAGTATATCGTTTCGTTTAAAGAAGACGCAGGACGTTTGGTGTGTTATAAAACAGATTTCATTTCAAATTAATAAAAAACTGTATCGTTATTATTGCAACTATTTTAGGAGAGCTATTATATAAATATACACATTAATAAAAGTCAGAAAAAAATAAAGGGCAAATTTAAAATATTTACGAGAGAGAGAAATACGACAAATGCAACTGTGTGAAAGAGTACTCATTACTTTTGCAATGCGCTTTTTCACACTATTAATTACCTGAATTCAAACTTTAGTCTTACGTGGAGCTTTTTTCACTGCAAAGATATATATATATCTTTGTTAAAAAAAACTTGGACAAATTTTACTGTACGAAAGAATATTATTAAGAGACAAAAAACGTATGTTGTTCTCAGTTTTAATAGAAAATATTTTTTTTTCTTTTTTTTTTTAAGACGGAGAAAAATTACTATATTTCGTAAGAATATTATCCTAAGGTATTTCGCAAAAAATGTCATGGTGTGTTTTGAACAAATTTTATAGTAATATATAATTTCAATGAGTATATCAATTCTTTTTATTAATTATTTTATCTTTTCCACGCGCTCTCTCTTTCTCTCTCTCTATCTCTATATATATATATATATATATATATATATATCTCTTTATCTTTTCAGCATCATTAATATACAATATTTGTCCAATACATAAATCTTATTTCCTTAATCAAGATCTTGAACGATTTAAAAAGAACTAAATTGTAGGTATATAGACAAACGTATACTGTCTATCGAACAATATGCGAGCCAGTTCATAAGATTTATGCTTATAATACCAAAATTAAGATTATCACTAGATAAATACGTATACACTTGTATTATGACGCAAAACACACACATTACCTACAAAATACATTGAACTAGATTCTAAGTATATTTTCGTGGGGGACCCAGTGTACTATCGGATAAAACTAAAGCCTTAGTGTATGAAATAGTTTGAAAACAATTCATAGAAACGAATGAAGTAAACTTAACTACGGCGATTTACACGTTACACATTTAAGTGATACTCGCGTTTAAACCAAATAACGACTGATTTCAAAAATATAACAATTTAGGGAATAATAATGATAAAAAAAGAACTTGTACGATGGTGACCAAGATCATCAATTTCAAGTGTTTTAGTTTCCTCGTATCGATAGTGATCGAACATTATATTGAACTTATTTTTATTCTTTTTTTAATCTTTTTCTTTTTGCAAAAAAAAAGACTTTAAAGTAGTTAACTAAACATGCGTATCATGTTATCTCCTCGTATATATTCCTTCGCTTACATTATACTTACAGCCTTATTGCTCTCACAAAGACATGTTATTTACTATTTTTTAAAAGCTTTTGTAGCGTAAACAAATTGATGCATGCAAAAGGATAATCGCTCTTCAACTTATACATGTCACATTATTATACGTGTCATTACACTATGAGTAATTTACACAAGGAAAAAAAAGATTATTTATAGTTAAGTTTGTGCAAAAATATTCAGAAAATTTGTCTGCTAAAGCATGAAAATTATTCGTACCTTTTAAAAATCCTATTTCTACAAAATATTCCCATGTATTATATCAGCTTTTACAAACCATAAGAATTGATGTGAGACAGAGTGAAAATTAAGATCCATATAAAAGAATTAGTGCTTTCGACATACTGAAAGAATTTATTATAATTTATTGAATATTGTGTTTTTTGTTTTTATTTTAAATAAGAACAATAAGTATTTACTATCTTATTGATTCTACAGGCGCTAAGTGTTAAAAAATTTGAGGTGTATTATTACGTCGAATGTCATTGTAGACGCTTAGTATTCGTGGATTTAATAGAGATTTCGTATTTTTAATACCAGATCGACCCGTTCTTAATGCCGTATTACGTAACTTAGGATTATATATAAAAGATGATTTAGACAGAAGTAAAAATTGGCTAAATGTAACTGAAACTCTGTCTATTAAAAGAAAAAGAGAGAAGGATAAAAACAAACAGCATAGTACACAAGTTTTTGAAAAAAGTGTTTTATGTATAAGTAGTGACGTATATTGATGATAAAAGCTTACTAGCGAGAAATGTTAACGTTTTATTTTTTATAATCAAATAATTTATGAGAAGAACAATTACGAAGTAACAATATACAATCCCGAATATCATATGCATTTAGTCAACTTCTGAGCGGTTTTAATCGATGTACACAAAATTTAATATGTGTACATCCATGTAAAACAGAGTTTTCACGTTGTTGCTTAATGAATAAAAAAAAATAAAACCATACAATCGGTTTCTTATCCTAATAAAAGATAAATATTTCCTGTTATAATTATAATTTTTAAATGTGAGTAATCTAAAATATTTAAATCTCTAGCAAATTAGTTTCAATTTCAATAAAGTTATGAAATATAAAGATTATTTATAATTATTTATTTTGAACATTAAAAAATATATATATATATCAAACAAAAAAGAAAAGCAAATAATTTCGATTATAAATTACATATTTATTAATATTTATAATAGTTTGTATATTACATATGTATATATATGTATATAACTTGACCAGCAAGTAATAATTACAAATGGTTTCCGTCAATTAGGATACAATATTTAAATAACTTACTTATTTTTTAAACATATCTTACATAAATTTTTTACATCATTGCATCACAGATTTAGATTTGAATTGAAATCTGTACTATGTACATAATGGAAATATTACATTAAATTTATATAAGAGTCAACAGAATGCATATGGAAGAAATTATTTCTATTAACAAACAATTGAAAATATAACAAACATTTGTGCTGGAACAGTATTGAAATATAAATAAATCTCTTTAATGAATTTGCGTCCACAAATAGATAGCTGTAATTTTTACAAAATATAAAACTACTTTACAATAAATGTTTGGCAAGACTTCATTAAAATTTTAGAAAATCGAATATTTGTTCTAATTTTTAATAATCTAAGCTTAATGTCTCTGCATTGCCATCGGAATAATTGATAAAATAGAACTATAGCATGCAGATTTCATATTTAAATAAGATCAATGATTTGATGACTCAAAATACAAAATTGTAATATAATCTTTGGCATATAATTCTTAAATTTAATTTAATACTTTGATTTAATTTATTAATCATCCTCAAAATCATCACTGCTCTCATCTTCTAATATAATAGTATTTTGCTTTTCTGTAAATAAAGTATCTTGGCTCAAGGCTGGAACTTGTCGAGAAAATTCGCTAGTTGCCCATAAAAATAAATCTAATGTTTGTTCTGTACATTCAGCTATAAATCTGACAAATGGCCTAACGTCGCCACTATTAGCAATTTGCAAATTTTCGTAATATTTATGCCGATGTTGTTTCTGTATAATGACTGGAGGATATCCAGCTTGCATAAGTATCATATTCATTAATAATCGAGATGTTCTACCATTACCATCAGAAAACGGATGTATATGCACTAATTTATAATGGGCAAGAGCTGCATATCTGCAAAAGATATTTATATGTATTATTTTAATAAGTTTTCCATCTAAATAAATCAAGAATTAAGATTGTTTTTACCTCACTGGGTGCATTCTGATAGCTCTCTCACTATTTAGCCACAAAGCAAATTCTTCCATAAGGTAATGAATATCATCAGGACCTGGAGGTACGTGTCCACCTACATAAACTTGAGTACGTCGAAATCGTCCACATTCGACAGGATCTACATGTCCTAAAACTCGTCTATGTATTTCTAATATATCTTTTATTGAGATTGATCCTACTCTGAAATAAGAAAAATATTTAAATTCGATATAGTGCTATGTAAATGTACAAGTTTCAAGTGATTACAAGACAAATCGTTTCCCTCAGTTGCAGAGCATTGTATGATAAAAAAAATAAATAATTAATCACTCATTAATAACACAATACGAGTAGCTTAAGTGATTATATTACAATGCTCACGTTTGGAACGTTTGATCACTTTCAGTACCGCAGCAAGCTGTATTATAAGCGTTCCAGTCTGGAGCATTTAATCTAAGCAAAAGCATTAGATATAGCATTTAGCCACAATAAAAGAATTTGTTAACCTGTTACATGTAATGCAAGTTTTTTTATTATAATGATATGAAGATATAATTATAATTTGAAGCAGTTTATTGTGATACAAATTTTAATGCATTTTATTAAGTATTCATCAAAAAAATAAAGATGTTAAATTATTCTAAATTTAAATTATCCAATTTTTGTATATTACCTGGAAAATTATATACAAATATCATAAAAAGAAAAAAATATTTATATTTTTAATAAATTAAGAAATAATTATTTGTAGTGTTATATGACAATCAGTAAAAAAACATTCTTTTTTAAATAGTTTCAGGAAATATTTCATGCACTATAAACTGTCTTCAAAATGAATTTTATAAATAAAAAAAATACAAAGATACCGAAAGCATAAGATAAATAAATGTTAATAAGTATTTTAAAGTTAATCCAGAAAGTTCAAATTAGATAGAAATATAAATCAAAGCAATTATTATAATTATTATCATGTATATTACAATAATGTCACGTATAACTTAATTTTGTAATTATAATATAACTCACTTATTAACTAATGTAGCATTGATATATTTCATGGCAGCATCTAATCCAAGTATTTCATTGTGTTCATCAATACTTTTTCCAGCAACAGCAATCCTAGTTTCGACAATGGCTCTTGTTTGCGCTAAGTTCATCGTATTTCCTTCTATGCCCACGGTATGATAAATATGTTGAAAATAAGCTTCTTTTTTAGCTCGTATTAATGCAGCATTGTTATCTGGTATGGCAGATAACGTATTTCTCTTTTGATCAATACGTCTTAAAAATCTTCTGTCTAGTTCTTCAACAACGCGTGCAGTTCTTTGGCTGTTGATTAAGGCACTTTTATGATTTGGTTGATAACTTAAGGCACGTACATAAAACTCATTGGCTTTGATAACATCATTTTGCATTTGTTCCAAAAACTCTCCATAATGATTTAGAACATCTGGATGATGCGGTGCTAATACTACAGCATGTTGGAATAACTTTATAGCTTTTTTCTGTTTTCCAGAAAGTTTCATCTCTAATGCTAAATGTAATGATGATAGTGCTTCAGCCGTAGATGCAGCTGTTCTTTCTATCTCAGAATTTTTAATTTCAGATGACTGCAATATGATGCTCATTGCACCTTCATCGTAAACGTTTAAAATACCTTCCGAAGGCAATGGTGAAAATACATGATGAAATTCCTGTTCTAAAAAGAAATAACCGAATGAAAAAACATTTATAATTTATAACTTCTTAACATTAAATTCGTTTATAATGACAAATTTTATAATCACACCTGTATAATCTATCGACAGTCCACATATATATTGCGTCAACAATGTACCAATAACGGCGACTGCAATCCCTGACACAAAGACAAGGAACACAATAACCCGATTCGGTGTCATAGCGTCTACATTTTTGTTAACACTCTTCACGTAAGCGGACTTTGTGCAAAAGATATAATTCTCTGTGATGCTAGATGGTGGCATCTTTTATTAAAACAATAATATAGCGAAAGTTTGATTTTTTTATTAAACTCTATCATCCTTTTCCTTAAGAGGTTTACTGTACAACAAGAATGACAACTGACTAGAATCGACTTTCTCATACATGTGGTCAATTTCTATTGGTTAACTCGATTCGCATAATCTTAACTCGCATAAGTTACATTTTTTTCTAGTTTAAATATAACTAACTATATACATATATGAGGATTATTTATATTAATGTATAAACCAAATTAGATTTTACAAAAATAAATTATCTTTAATACGTAATTGTTATATGTCGAATTTCCATTATTATTAAAAGAATACCACAACATAACGAAATATTTAAACTTCAAATTCGCAGATCACACACTATAATTCAAAAATAAAATATAGATTTATATTTTTCATAAATTATTCATTGAACGTTTCATTATTTAAACACAATTAATCTTATAATATGTAAAATATATAATGATAAAGTATGTTTGTTTGAATTGGGTTTAGAAATATATCGAATGAAAAAGTATCGAAATGTTATTAGTACCAATCGAATTTAGTGCAACTAACTTCGTTGAGCTTAAATTCCAAATTGGAACCCTTGGTTAAGAACTTCTAACTGCTTTAAACTTCATTTAAGATTTATGATTTCCAGTTATAACGTTAAACGATTTTCATAACGGCTTTAAAGAAATATTATGAAAGCTATGTCTCATCATTACGTGGTGACGGCACATAAACCTACGGCTGTAAGTGCTTGTGTAACTGGTAAGTAATCTAATTTCCTTTCAATAATAGTTAACGTAAGTTCTACAATCTTTCATTTCTATTTCTTTTCTTAAAGGTAATTTTACCTCGAGTGATGATCTCAATGTAATATTGGCAAAAAATGTACGATTAGAAATATATTTGGTCACTCCAGAAGGGTTGAGACCCTTAAAGGAGGTTGGAATTTATGGAAAAATTGCTGTAATCAAATTCTTCAGACCACCGGTAAGGTTATCTCAATTGTTGATTACTTAATACGAACATTCTTATTCTTGGCTTTTGTTCTTTATGTTCCATATAATATTTTTATTTACTGTGTATATATAGGATCTCTAAATTTGTATTTACAAATTATTTTATATTTATATAGTACGAAAGAAAAGACTTATTATTTCTTCTAACAACACGATACAATGCTATGATTTTGGAATGCATCGGAGAGGGAGAAGATATTGAAATCAGAACCAGAGCACATGGCAATGTAGCCGATCGTATTGGAAAAGCTTCAGAAACTGGTATCAAAGCTGTTATTGATCCTAAAGCACGTGTAATAGGACTGAGGCTATACGATGGTCTTTTTAAAATTATTCCTTTGGATAAGCATAATCCAGAGTTAAAAGCATCATCGATTCGTATGGATGAGCAACAAGTACAAGATGTTAATTTTCTGCATGGATGTGCTAATCCTACATTAATCTTAATTCATCAAGATGTCAACGGAAGACATGTAAAAACACATGAAATCTCATTGAGAGATAAAGAGTTTGTTAAAATACCATGGAAACAAGATAATGTGGAACGCGAAGCTATAATGATTATTCCTGTACCTTCTCCAATTTGTGGTGCAATTATAATAGGGCAAGAAAGTATTGTATATCATGATGGAACTACATACGTAGCTGTCGTACCTCCAATCATTAAACAAAGTACTATAACATGCTATGCCAAAGTAGATAATCAAGGTCTCAGGTATTTATTAGGAGATCTAGCTGGACATTTGTTCATGTTATTTTTAGAACAAGAAAAGAAACCCGATGGCACACAAGTAGTAAAAGACTTAAAAGTAGAGCTTTTAGGTGAAATTAGCATTCCAGAATGTATAACGTATTTGGATAATGGTGTAATATTTATTGGTAGCCGTCTGGGTGATTCTCAATTGATTAGATTAATAACCAAGGCAGATGAAAATGGATCTTATTGTGTACCAATGGAAACATTTACAAATTTAGCACCAATAGTTGATATGGCTGTTGTTGATCTTGAAAGACAAGGACAAGGACAAATGGTTACTTGTTCTGGTGCCTTTAAAGAGGGTTCCCTAAGAATCATCAGAAATGGTATTGGCATTCAAGAGCATGCAAGTATCGATTTGCCAGGCATTAAAGGCATGTGGGCTCTTAAAGTTAATGGTGGTAACTTTGATAATACATTAGTACTCTCTTTCGTGGGCCAGACAAGAATTTTAATTTTGAATGGCGAAGAAGTTGAAGAAACTGATATGCCAGGCTTCGTTGCAGATGAACAAACCTTTCATACTGGAAATGTGACTAATGATTTATTTATTCAAATAACACCAAGTTCTGCAAGATTGATTTCGAATGAAAGTAAATCTGTAATATCTGAATGGGAACCTGAAAATAAAAGAACCATTAGCGTAGTTGCCTGTAATGGTACTCAAGTTTTATGCGCTACTGGTAACGATTTATTTTATATGGAAATCATAGATGGTAAAATTATTCCAAAAGGATTTGCTACATTGCAGCACGAGGTAGCATGTCTGGATATTTCTCCATTGGATAAATGCAGCGAAGCACATATAGTTGCAGTAGGTTTATGGACAGATATTTCTGTTCGAATTTTAACTTTACCTGATTTAATAGAAATAAATAAGGAATTGTTAGGTGGTGAAATCATACCAAGATCAATTTTAATGACCTGTTTTGAAGGTAATACATATCTTCTGTGTGCACTTGGAGATGGTAGTATGTATTATTTTACTCTGCATAAACAATCTGGCGTCCTCTCGGATAAGAAAAAAGTTACATTAGGTACACAACCAACGGTACTAAGAACTTTTAGGTCCTTATCTACGACCAATGTTTTTGCTTGTTCTGATAGGCCAACAGTCATCTATTCTTCTAACCATAAACTTGTGTTTAGCAACGTTAACTTAAAAGAAGTAAATCATATGTGTTCGTTGAACGCAGAATCGTATCCAGACAGTTTAGCATTGGCAACAGATAGTACTGTGACTATAGGAACAATTGATGAAATTCAAAAATTACACATACGAACTGTTCCTCTTGGAGAATCACCTAGAAGAATTGCATATCAAGAAAGTTCTGAAACTTTTGGCGTCATCTCAATGCGAGTAGATGTACAAGAAAGCAGTGGGGTCAGTATTGTTAGACATTCTGCGTCTACTCAAGCAGCTTCAACATCCAGCAGCAGTCATATAGCACCTCATAATAAACCAACAGGACATGCAGCCAGTGAGATTGGACAAGAAATTGAAGTCCATAATCTTCTTATCATAGATCAACACACATTTGAAGTTCTTCATGCACACACTTTAATGCCTGCTGAATATGCTTTGTCATTAATATCTACAAAATTAGGCGAAGATCCAACTTCTTATTATGTAGTGGGAACTGCATTAATAAATCCCGATGAAACTGAACCAAAAATGGGCAGAATATTAATGTATCACTGGGGTGACGGAAAACTTACTCAAGTAGCAGAAAAAGAAATCAAAGGATCATGTTATTCATTAGTAGAATTTAATGGAAAACTTCTTGCAAGTATTAATAGTACAGTTCGCCTATTTGAATGGACTGCTGAGAAAGAACTCAGGCTAGAATGTAGTCATTTCAATCATATTATAGCATTATATCTTAAAACCAAAGGCGACTTTGTCTTAGTAGGAGATCTTATGAGATCTTTAACGCTTCTCCAATACAAAACTATGGAAGGTAGTTTTGAAGAAATAGCCAGAGATTACAATCCTAATTGGATGACAGGTATTGAAATTTTAGATGATGATACTTTTCTGGGAGCTGAAAATTGCCTTAATCTATTCGTTTGTCAAAAAGATAGGTAAGATATTATAAAGATAAAAAAATTAGATAAAATTAATTTATATGAATTAAATATGAAATTTGAAATGAATGCCAAATAAAATATAAATTCGTTTGCATGTTGCTTACAGTGCGGCTACTGCTGAGGATGAAAGACAACAAATGCAAGAAGTTGGACAATTTCATTTAGGTGATATGATCAATATTTTCCGCCATGGCTCTTTGGTAATGCAAAATTTAGGCGAATCGAGTACACCTACACAAGGTTGTGTACTATTTGGAACAGTGAACGGTGCTATTGGTTTAGTTACTCAAATTCCATTTGCATTTTATGAGTTTCTTCGTAACTTGGAAGAAAGATTAACATGTGTGATCAAAAGTGTCGGCAAAATTGAACATAATTTCTGGAGGAGCTTTAATACTGAATTAAAGATTGAACAATGTGAGGGCTTTATAGATGGTGATTTAATAGAAAGTTTTCTTGATTTAACTCATGACAAAATGGCAGAGGTTGCAATGGGGCTTATGGTAAGCAAAGTTTTATCTTTAATATACGTAATATTATAAACATTATTTTTTATATTTTGAAATATATTATTTCTATTCAGATTGATGATGGTAGTGGCATGAAGAAAGAAGCGACGGTTGATGATCTCGTAAAAATTGTTGAAGATTTAACGAGAATACACTGAACTTGGTTTGACTGATTTATGCAGTCACTGGTATATAAAGCGTATATATGTGTTGATACGCCAAAAAAGATAAATTTAAAAGAAATAAAATGTAAATACAGTTTCATCGATGATATACTAAAAGATAGAATTTATTGAATACTTTTTTTATTTTTATTTTCGTTTTGATAAAATTGTAGAAAAGGTATTATAATTAAACAAGCTATCTTTCTATAGAAAATATTTAAAATATTGACAAGTTTTGCAGCTATAATAAATGTTGGCATTTTTAATTAATGCCACATATTTTTACAAGCACTGAATGGTATTGATAGATTCCTACGAATTGAGTAAATATAATATTTTTCTTCTTCTTTTCTTCTTATTATAATATATATTATTTTCAAATATAAATTAGTATATCAAAACAAAGGTATCTGAGATGTTCCCATGAATTCATCTTTACTGCAATGCTTTATCATTTATTCTACTTATCCATCATTTCACATCGTTGTAACACGTTCACGCCGGACCAATTTTCATATTTTTCGCTACAAGGCGGGGCTTAAATTCATATTATGCTTGGGACAGTCGTGTGCGGCTCACCGGTGATGCACGCCGGCGTGAACGTATTAAAACATGGTAATAATCGTTACTATCTATGTTAATATAGTAACAGTTTTCAACTGTATAAATACTACACTGTAATATTTGTCTTATTAGTGACTCATTGTAATAAAATGATTGGTTTAACAATTTAATACAATTATAGTAATAAAATTACATATTTGTAAGATTTAGTGTAAATAAAGAGAGTCATCAATTTGGAGATATGATTTTTTCGTATAGTTTTGCTATAATTTATCTATTGATACTTTTTACAGTTTTTAAAGTATATGGATCAAATAACCAATTACGTAAGTCTTCAAGACCTTGTCCTGTTATTCCACTAGTTTCAATTACAATTATCTCTTGAGTTATTTCTTTCTTCAAACGTACAAATTGAAGCATAAGAAGAGCTTCATTCCTCATTTGTCTATAAGAAAGATCCATTTTGTTTAAAATTAATGCAATTTTGATATGTTTTAATCTTGGTTCAACTAATGCCGAATATAATAAAACACCAGCTGCACTTATCTGGCAAAGATTGCTAGTATCCACGACAAAAATTAATTTATAAACCTAATAAACAAAAAATATGTTATAATATGCACTTATTTTACATATAATGCATACAAATCATTGTGCGGTGGTGATGATGGGGAGTAATTCCATTAACAAAATTACCTTGTCGTAGTAATATTTCCAAATCGGTGCCATATTGCCACCGATTTCTCTAACAATTATATCAAATTCACCAGTATTATTTTTAATTGTAAATAAATTGATACCATTAGTTGGTACTGTGTGGGTGGCATCGTCTATTTCGTCACCTTGAAGACGTTTCAGCAAGAGTGTTTTACCAGATTTGAAAGCACCAAGACACAAACACATGTTTATATCTTTTCTAAATAATAAAAACCTTATGATAACTTTATAAGACTAAAATATTTTTTATATACAAAAGAGATATATTTTTCTTTGAATGTGTTATTGATTTGAAAAGAATATATATACATATACAAATATTGATCTAACACAATACGAGTTCTTGGGGATAATTGAAGCAAAAAACTATGAATATTATCAGTATTCGTTTTCTATATAGTGATATTTTATTATATTTCATGAACTTCGATGCAATTGTATACATAATAATAATTTACTCAAACAATATTTTTTATTATTTCGTACAACAAATATTTAATACATAGTGAACATAAACAAAACGTATATTTGATAATTAATCTTATAAGTACAATTTGTTCTATTGTGTAAGAAGTGCATCGACATAAAACACAGCATATCATAATATAAATAGTTATATTTTACCAAACAAATAATAAAGTAATGCGTTTTTATATATAAAACTTAATAAAAAAAGCAATATCACAATATATAGAACAAATGCTCACAATAGTACAGTTTCTATTCGCTAGTCTGAGTAAAACAGGACATATTACTTTCTTTTTTATAATGTTCTTCATAAAATTAAACAAAACTAAATGAATTATGCTTGATACGCACTAAAATTTTATCATAGTTTGGAACAATGTTGCATACAGAAATACGAAAAGCTCTTTAATTTCTAATAGTAATAAAATAACATTTGAACAAATTTTCCTAGTAACGTCAGAATCATATACAAGTCATGTATGATCAGTGAAATAAAAATTGCTTTCTGTGAACATTAATATATTGGATCTAATGTTACAATACTTAATATATAAAAGCTATTTATTATAGTAGCGATTACATGTTAGAAATTCTTCAAATTTACGTTTTCAAAATATGTTATAACTCAAAACAAAATTATTTTTTAATCAAGTATTATTTAATCCTTAAATGAAGTGTAAAGAAAATAAAATGATTTTTTATAAAAATATCTAATGTATAAAATAGATTTTCAATCCCCCTGTATGCGCATATTTCTGTGTAAAAATATAAAGCATAATTTTTGTAATTTTGAAGAAGTATTCATATGAAAAAAAAAATAACAAAAATAGTCTCATTTTGAGAAAACAAAAATTTCCTAATGTGCACAAGGCACTTGAGGTTTATTTCCCATATCATATTAACTTATAGTAATTTAATTAGTTACTATTACGTCAATATCAGCCATCATTACATATCAATATATGTCAATTAAATATAAGAATTTTTTTTTTTTCTTTATATTTTTAAAGAATAGAGATTTGTTTAATTTCTTGGATTGACTAATCTTATATCTATAGTATATATATTATTTAATTTCTGTACAAATTTACTTATAAATATAATTATGTGCAGTCAATGTGTACTCTATCTTTCTACGAACATAAAGAGAGCATAGCCAAGTAAGATTATAGAAAATGCCGCCAGCGAGTTGTTGAATGTGATATTTTTTAAGTATCCTTACTAAAAGAAAAAATTTTGCTGAAAAGTTTTTGGTTTTGGCTATGCCCTTTATAATTTTAATTAAACATATAATATGCGCGTATGTAATTTAACTTATATCAAGTTCTGTAGATTAGCTTCAAAGAAGTAAATTATAGACCAATACTATCAATACTCTTGGAGGTATTTGTGTATTTCCTCAATATGAGACTAGACTTATGTGCAATTCATACTTGTTATGTCATTTCACGTGATACCACTTGTAATTGCTTCGGTATTTGCCACGTTTGCAGGCGTTTGTCTTTACTACCGGCTATGATCTATAATCAATTTATTCTATCATATCTTTTTATTTATTTATATGTCAAGTCTATAGCTGTACAAGTAATATATAAAAACAAAAACCAATAATTTAAACATCTACAAAATATTAATATTATTTTCAAACTTTTTAAATACCTTATTGTCAACAACTTCCATACTTAGTAACATATTTCCTGGTCCAGGTATACTACAAGCTAGTTTATGATCCTATAAAAAGAAATAATCCAACAATTCATACACCAAATATTTTACGTATTTTACATATAATTGTAAATAAATATAACGTTATTTAAATAGTCAAAAAAATTTAAAATAATATCATTTGTTACCTGAATATCAAAAACATATATGTTTCCATCATAACAGCCAGCAAATAAAAGCTTATGATAGAGGCGCATACAAACGATACCTACACCTGCATCATATCGTGCTCTTTGTTCTCCATTCTATAAGAAAAATAAATATAATAATTTCACTTGTCATATAGTATATTGCGTACAATTAAAAATTCTATATACTAACAGTGAAATCAAAAACAAGTATCGAGGTACTACTTGTACCGCAATAAATCAAATTGTTATTTTGCATTAAACTATACACTGTATGATTTTTTTGTCCACAAATTGTCCGAAGAAACAATCCATTCTGTGCGTCTCGTATTGTTATTGGTTGATTACGCGATGCTACAATAAGAACTCTTCGTGGACCTTCATTTGTAGCTTTCAAAGCTAGTACTGATTTGTCAGAAAATTGTATGCTATCACCTTTTATAGCATTAAACTATAATATAAAAAATTAATGTTATCACAATATATTATTTTTCGTATCATTACACAATAGAGAGTTACACATTTATCAAACTGAAATTAAATGAAATTAAACATTCATCTTCTTACAAACCTTTATATGAAAACGAGAAACATGACCTGATTTAGTACCAATAAAGATTATACCCCAAGCTTGATCCATACACTGAACAGGACTTCCAACATTTGCAATATTATTAAGTTGTGTGCCGGTCTAAAGTAAAAGAAACAATAAAATATATAACAAATGAAAAATGATTAATCCTTCTTCTTGCTACATTTACCTTAACATTGTAACAACGTAAAGTTCCATCCAAAGATCCTGAATATACCCAATTATTTGTATAATCAAGGCTACTGATTTCGTGGATGTACATACACGTAACTGCTGATCTATGACCTTTATAAATATTCAATATTTCATTAGATTTTTGACTGTATCTATATATTGAACCATCTTCGCTGGCTGCTAGAAATGTATCACCAAATACCTAAAATAAATAATATTATTATATTATTAGTTCACACAAATTGTTGAAAAGCTATCTAAAAAATACAAGAAAAATCGTCTAATTTTTATTTTTACCTTAATATCTAATATAGGCCCTTTATGAGCTATATATTGTGTTTTCAATGGCTGTTCATTTTCTCTTATTTCATCTAATAATGGTGTTTCCTCATCATGATGTAAATTTACTATAGATCTACAATGACCATCTTTTTTTCTTTCTTCTAGAATTGCAATGTCGAGTTCTTCATTTTGTTGTGGTAACATCTTCATAATTGAAGGAACAGCTTTTATTGATGTTACTGATATGCCTTCGTTATTAGATTCCAAAGATAAATGTTCATCATCAAGTAATGGATTTACTTTAGGATAAAATTTTAATTCTTTTTTATTATCCAAAATATTGTGTGTTTTTATTACTTGATTCTGACATAAAGTCGAAGTTTTTTCTTGCACATTGCCAGATATATTTTTAACTTTTCTTATATCTTTTGATTTATTTGTTTCTATAATCAAAGAATTTGTTTTAGATGATGTAGCAAAATGTGCAGAATTTATTGTATCCTCTATTGCAGCAGATTTGTAAATAGGTATATAAGATTTAAATTTGTCTCGTGTGTGTTGATATAAATTTGATTTAAATACATCAACTAATCTTACTTTGCAATTTATCATTTCTGATTGGTTATGCACTTTTCTTTTAACTGCAATATTTTTTATTTTAGGTGTTAATACTTGAGAATCAACATTAGGTGAAAACCGTTCGATTATATTCTCTTTTAATATGAACGACTGATATTTGATGGATGATTCATCTTCTACAGGTTTAGTAAATTTTGTATCTTTATTACTTTCTAACTTGTGAAACTTACGATTACGTTTCACATTAGATAATGTATTCTCGAGTTCTTGATGCATTGGAGATATATTTTTTGTATTACATAGAGCCATAGATAAATCTGTTCTTCCTTCATTTGAATTAGTATCATCATGTTTTAAATGCTTTATATTATCCTCTATAGACTTTGAATTCTTATGTACTGAAGCATTTTTATTACTGATTTTACATTTGAATGTTTTATTATCTTGAATATTACTAATTTGAGGTATATTTGAAGTAATTTCATCCGTTTCGTATACGATTTTTGGTATCTTCATTCCTTTATCTTCTGTGACTTGTTTAATATTTTCTTCTGTTTTACTATTATATTTAAGTTTTTCAAATATTGAGTTATTAACAGTAGTATTCTGATTTACTAAACAATCTTCTTTCTTATCAGATCCTTTTAAACTCTTATCTATAGCTTCCGTAGAATTATTTCTATTCTCAGATATTACAATTTTTTGTAATGTATGATTACTCTGATCCTTATTCAATTTTTCATTTGAAACATTTAATTGATTAGCTTCTATAAGAACAGGTATATTAAAATGAGTAGTAGTGAACGTTTCATCGATCAAAGAAGTTTTCTTTTGACTAATATCTCCATCAATTGACATATTCATTATAGCAAAATTCCCGTCTTGATTATTACAAGAAACTGCAGTAGATTGTACTTCAATGTCTTTAATTGCATTCTTTTCTTCTTCTGTTTGTTTTTGCTGAATTACATTTTCGTCTGTAATATTTAATGAATGTTTAATAGAATTTTGCTTTTGATCATAACTTAATGAAGAGCAAATAGGTTCCTCTTCATTCGAATTCGAATTCTGTAAAGGTTTTGTAAAGTATTTTTTATCTTCATTTTGCCTTATTTTATTTGACGATGTGCTTAAATTTTCATTCCCATTTTCTTCATTTTTTTCCTCATATAAGTCTTTTACTCTATCCTCTGCAACAGCATTTATTACCTCTATTGCATGTTCCAAAATCTTTTCGAATTGAAATGAATTTTCATAGTTATCAATAGTCGAATTTTCTTTCTTGTCATCCAATGAATCAAGTAGGTCTCGTTTTTGTTGCAGTTTTTTAATATACAATGTATTCAAAGGAATTTCTTCTTCTTCGGGTGTTAAATAATTTACACTTTTCAAGAATTTATTCAGTTCCTTCTTTTTCTTTTTACGTGCATTTGCTTTTAATTTCCGATTTTCTGCTATTTCTCGTTTATATGTTTCCTCTAAAAGAGCAAGACCAGTGTTATGTTTCTTCTCTTCCATATTTTCAGATAATTGTGCAAAAGATCCCCAAGTACTATCATCAGAATATATTAAGGATGCTTGCGTTGAATTATTTTTAGGTGCTTCAAAAAATTCTAACTTTTGCTTTTCTTTATGTGACGTAACTTTTATTTGTTGATTTTCTTTATATGATTTTGTGATACTAATCGGTGACATGCAAAGATGTTTCTCTTTTTCGATATATGGTATACTCTCTAATGAAGTACTTTTTGTTACATTACTTGAGGTTTTTCTTATAGAATTATATGTATCCAGATTTTCAGTCGATTGAAGTTGATTTTCAGATAGTACTTTATTATTTTCTTGTATTTTCCTTTCATCCTTACATATCGGTAATGATTGTGAGCTTCCACTGCATTCTGATAATAATCTATCTTTAGGATTATGAGATGAAATTTTTCCTGTGCAATTTATATTTTCTTCTGTTATTAAAGATTTTTCTTTATTTTCATCAATATTTATAATTCTTGGCTCTATTTCATCTTGAATCATTTCAGACACAGAGCTTAGCTCCATATTTTGCATTGTATGTGATGTTAAAGTAGGGGACGTATGAAGTCTTATTAATGTTTTGTCTCTATTCGTTTCTAATCCTAAATTGTTAGTTAATGGAAACTTATTTAATAATAAGGAATCGTTTTCTAGCATTTGATATAAAGTCATTTTTTCTGTCATTAATTTATGAATTTCCACGTCTATATCTATCATTCTAGCCATTATTTCTTCTTTTATATTTTTATTTGTAACATGCAAAGTATTATTCGTTTGTCCTTGCTTTTGTGTATCAATGCAAGAAGTCTTATTTAGGCCCTCATCAATTTTATTTGTGTCAGCATAGTTCCGTATTGTATCTGTTATCGGTCTATTTGTTTCTTTCATTCTTTCTGATTGAACAGTAGGATTATATACTTTGTTACTATCTATTAATTCTTTAATAAAAATAGTATGACTAGATGGAATCAAAGTTTCATCGTGTATTGTTTTTGTTTTATTCAGAACAGTTTGAGATAATACATTTACATCTGAACATTGATGCAAATCTTTATTATCAGATACATATGCAACATGTACATCTTGAGAAGATTTATTTTGCTCCGAATTGAGAATTGCATTATCAATATTTTTTTTCTGAGATACCTGATCAGTTATAAAATGATCTATGTTCTGATTTTCACACTCATGTTCTGTTAAATTAGAATTTGTAAATTTCAAAGGTTCTTTGACACAATCCATAATTGTAGTAATATTTGTACATTCTTTCAAAGAAGCTTTCGTCGGAACTTTTAACTTCTTTGGTATATGGTGTATGAATGATTTCCGAAGTCTTTCTGAAGCATACAGAGTTGAATTATAATTCAAATTAGTATAAGTATCATTATTTAAGTGTGAATTATTGTCATTTATGCTTTCTTTATTACAGGAGTCTATATTAGTAACAAAATCTGCAATATCCTGGTTTAGCATATTAGCGTTATTATTTCCAATTGTGTTGCTATTAATTGGCGAAGCTAAAGATGAATCAGTGTCAGTATTGATTATATTATTCAAAGTTTCATTTGATATGTTACTGAATGAAGAATCTATTGTATTATTCATGTCTGATGTAGATATAAAATCTGAAATTTCTTTTTTATGTGATCGTTTTTGTTTAACTAAAGAATCTTTTACAATATCAATATCTGGCTTTTCCATTACTGCATTATCTTCACATTCATATAAACCGGCAAATATTTTATCTCGCTTATTGGATACATCGTGAGTATTTTTGTCAACATTTACTGATTGCATAGATTCGTTATTTTCCACAGAGTATTCAGACTGTTTAAACCTATTTGTATTTTTCTCATTTGTTTTAGAATTTTCAGCATATTTATGTGAATATCTTTTATTTATCATTTCTTTCATTTGATCTTTATTGTTTAATAAATTAAAATTATTGCTTAAGATAGTTGTTGTACTGTCGTTCATCCTAAAATCTTTCCCATGAGATGATTCTCCTTCATCTTTATTTAATTGTTGAACTGTATTTAAAGAATCTTTAAGACTACTTTCAGAAGAAATATTATTATATAAAGTATCTTGATAACTTAAATTATGACGATTAAATTTATCATTAGAAGATGATTGCAATTGTTTACTTTCATCTTCTATAGCATTATCTTTGACAGGAATGACTGTACTTTGTGTCTCTAAATGCAATATGTGTTGATAGCTATTGGGTTCAACAGAGTCTGCAACAAATCCTTTAAATGGACTACTAGTACTTTCAGGTGATTTTAATTTACTTTTTATTGAATGAATCATTTCGTCATAAATGTTTGAAGTAGAATTTATTATATTCTTTCCAATATTAAGATTGTTCTGATTCTCTAATAAATTTTGATTAATCTGATTCACTATTGCAGTGTCTTCTTCTAGAATTCTACCTTGTTTGCTTTGAGGAATTACATTTATATTAGTAATACTTGTGCTATTATTTGATATTTTCATATTCTTTTGTGATTCATCTAGTTCAAAACATTTATTCAATTGAAAATCAACAGAAGATTCTACACAATTGGACACACTTTCAACAATTTTAGATTCTACGCTTTTATTTTTTGGCAATACTTCTTTTTCTAAATTTGTTACATTTTCATTAAATTCTGTTAAATTCCAAGGTCCTTGGGCCTGCTTCTTATTTTCATTTTTTGGCGAATTAATCTCTTCAGTATTAATAAAGTTACATATTTCTGGTTCCACAGATATTTCGTTGGAAGTAGATATGGCTCTTTTTCCGAATTTCAAGTTATTTGAATCGTATTTGGCAGTAGATAAATTATTATTTTTGTTTGTGTTTTTAGTTTGGATGTTATTTAATGTGCCTTTTGTTGGAATATTTATTTCTGATGTTTCTATATATTTTTCTTTGTCTACTGGTTTAGTATTATTAAAGTCATTATTAATGTTCTTATTTTTTTCACTTAAAGTTTCTTTTAATTCACTTGTCGACGGTATAATATAATTAACAGAAATTTCCTCATTTTGAATAGAAACTTTCTCTACTGAAGATTCTGTATTTTTTGTTAGTAATAAATGATCAGTAATAAATTGTACATTTTCATGTTTACCACTGGGAACATCCACCTGATTCTTTTCAACTTCATTGTTTAACGATTTTAAAACATCAGAAGTATTATTTATTTTTTCTTGATTGGCACTTGATATTTCTTTTGTTTCTTTTATTTTCTTTTTTATTTCAATTTTCTTTTTATTCTTCTCTAATTTTTCTTTTCTTAATTTTAATTCCCTACTTCCTTCTGATTTAATATTTTTAAATTTAGTAGAATCTCTAGATATCTTATTTGTTTGTGTAATAGAATTTGTATCTTTCAAATTTGTATAAGGCATAATTTTTAGTGAAACGTAAGTATCTGGTTTCTGTTTTTCCTCTATTATCGACTTGGAGAAACTATCATTAAACGTGTCATTATTTATTGCATGTTTATTACTTATTACTGCTTTTTCCTCATTTATTTTTTCTTCATTTTTCATTTTTCGTTGTAATTTACGTGCTTTATATGCCTTTATATCTATCTTTTTAGATGTTGCTTTATTATCTATTAACTTTTCTCTATTTGATTCGTGAACTATAGGAATAATTGATAATGCTTCTTTTTTTACATGAAGAATTTGCTCCTTACCACTTTGTTCCTTTACAATGGATGTATTAGTTATGTTCTTCGTTGTATTATCATTATTATTAAGAACCGTGTGCTCTGTTTCTATAACATTTGTTAATATATTATTTGGACACTCAGAATCTTCATTTATTTCGGATATATTTTCATTATTCAATGCAGGTGCTTTATTTTGTTCATGATATTTCGCATTCAAGACTATTTTGGCTGTATTTTTCATAAATTCCGTTTCTTCTACAGATTTTAATGTTTCTGGAATTAATTGTAATTGTGGTTTTAGTTGTATTATTGTAGGGATCAGTGTAATTCTATTACTCTCTTTTATTGTACATTTATCTACATTTTCCAACATTATTTTTTTATCCGTTAAGGTTTTTACTGTTTCCAGCTTATCAGAGCATGTATTATTTACTATCTGTAAAGTAGATTCGGAGCCTTCTTCTATGGCAACATCGAATTCTTCTTTAACGTTAGTTTCTTTCTTAATTTCCATTTCTGTAAGTAGATTATGTGTACCAAGTTGATTGTTATCAGAATTAGAACTGCTTTCAGATATTTTCTTTTTTCTTTTTTTTCTTTCTTCCCTATATTTTAATTTTTTTTCTTTCCTTCTTTTATCCTTTTTATGATATTTTCTTTTTCTATCTTCCGCATTCCATTTACGATGAATTTCAGCTGTTACTTCATCTCTTATTGTCTCATTTAATGATTTATTTTTAGCTATCTTTTCTTTTTCTTTAATTACCTTCAGAAGTTTAGCTACATCCGATGGTGTTCTATCATCACTACTTGTGCTATCAGTATCATCAGTCTCACTTGGACTTGAACTGCTCGTATTACGATCATTTTCTACATTATCCTTTTTGGATTCTTTCTTGCAAAACACAGTTTTCCGACTGAAAGAACTTTTATTCGTTTTAAATGAGCGCGGAGATGAATAATTTTTAGAATTGGAAGTTTTATTATATGTTTTATTTGTTAAATTTGTATTATCGCTATATCTACTTGTTTGTAATTTGGAAGAATTTGATGTTAAACTCTTCATCTTTTTTCCATGTTTTGCCTCCCATTCTTCCTTCGTAAGGTTTCTAAAGGCGTCTGGTTCATCTCGTTCTTTTCTAGTCCACCATCTATTATATCTTTCAAACTTCGATATATATTCATTTCCTGAATTACATTCATGTTGTTTGGTAGAATCCAAAATCTTTGGTTTGGAAATAAATGATGTAGTATTTACCGATATAAGTTGATCAGTGGGTATTGAGGTTTTTGTTATTTCATCACATGTTTTATTTGTTTTTATTGTAGACTTTGATTTTTCTTCTGAATTTATTGATTTGGATTCGCCTGATGCTTTTGTACTAACAGTTGAAAGTATATCATCTAAATCAGTCGCATCGAACAATGAATGTTGTTTTCTTTTCTCAATGTCTTTTCGTGTAATATCTTTCTCTGCTACATATACATTATTGGTAAAATGATCAATTTGTGGATCATTATTTTCCAGTAGTGTCTTCGAAAATATTTCATTAGAGTTTAATATCCTGTTATCATTGGTTTTAGATGAATTTACAATTGGAGCTATATTACTATCGTTAATATTTGACTCTGCAATGATAGAAGATGAGACTATATTATCCCCGTCTTTTGATTGATTATTGTATTCCGCTTGTGTCCTGTCATTTATTTCTTCTAAATGAATATTTTCTGAAACAATATTATTGTTTAATATTTCTTCTTCATTAGAAAATACATGTGAATTATTATTTTGACAATCATTAGTGTAATTAAAAATATTTTCATTTGATTCTAGTGGCTTGACATCAAGTTGTAATACTTCACTTAAATGATGGATAAAATCTGTAGGTAAATTAGTGATATCAACGATAGCTGCTGGATCTAGCATTGCATTTAACTGATCCATGAATTCTTGTCTATCATAACTTTTAATTTTTTCATCTTCAGTGTTTCGCATCTCTAATGACAATAATGATTTTTTTTCTTTGACAAGATGTTTCATGGCAATATTAAACTTTCGAAGACTAGAATTATTTATCATGTTACGAATATCATTTTTACTCATTTTTAAAAAACGACTGATAATTCTATTTTTCCATGAAGATTCAGACGGAGGAGATTCTACTTTCTTTCTTTTTTTTATAACATCTTGAGGTCTTTGTATGGTAGAATTATCAGAAGTTACAGAAATTCGAGACTCCAAATAAGACCTTTGTGATTCATCAATAAGACTATTAATTGTGTCAATGTCTTTTACTTCTATAATATGTTTCGAAGTTCTATCTTGATTACTTCTAATCATTTGATTAGCACACTCTTCAATCTTTTGATTGGAATATTCTTTTGAATATATTTGATGGAAATCATTTGCTGGAGAACTATACTGTTCTCTCTCGTCATCTTCAATTCTCTGAAGCTGTTTTCCTTGCTTATTTATTTTGTTTAACTTAGGATTTAAATGAAACATGACTTTTGGTCGAATCTGTTTATCTACAAGACCACTTTCTTCAACATTATCATTTTGATTTAATTGTTTTTCATGTTCAAAATTAGATGATCCGTGAAATTCAGTTATTACTCGTTCTTTTAAAGTTATTTTAGTAAACTTATTACAATGTTGATCCAACTGTTCCTTTTCCTTATTAATATTTTCATGTATTTGTGTAAAAGATGGCAATACATCACTAACATTTTGTTGTTTTACAGATGTATTTAGTGAAGGAATTCCAATAGATAGGGGTTGCTCAGATTCGGTATTAATATTTATATCATCTTTTATATTCGTAGCTTGTTTTGCAAACTGCATTGCTGCTTCTTGTATCTCTTGAAATTCATCCTTAATTTTATTATCTGAATTGGAAATTGGAGCAGAATCTAATGCCTTGTTATAAAGCAATGCTTGATGTTCAGCTTTGCTTATTGTTGCAGGTGATGTTACTTCATAAGATGTCATTTGTATAGGTGCTGTATGAATTAATTTTGGGGAGAAGTTGATTGGAGCAGTTGATAAAAGACTCGAAGATGATGGTATACTTATTTGTGATATTGTAGAAAAAGTTGTAGCTTGTACCAATGCAGTACTTGATGATGTGGTACAATTTACAGGGCAATATAAATCTGTAGAACTTACTGAAATTGCACTTGTTTGCAAAGGATTAAGCGCATGTATTGTCGAATTTGACTGATTTTGTGGCAAAAGATGTTGATCGAATACAGAAGATAATGGTAATGTACCTTTTTGATTATTAAAATTTGGTGGTGGTTGTTGAGGATTAAAATTTGGTATATTCATTATTTGCTCTTTATGTGGATTGTAACTTAATGCAGTAGATGACTCCCATGAATTAAAAACTGACACTGTTTGCAAAATATCTTCTTGACTTGAAGAAATGTTAACAGGTATAAAAGGTAAAGTACTATGATCTACGCATGAAGTAGTCTGCAAATTATCCTTATTATGCATTAAATTTGACGTTGTAGGAAATTGTGATTGAGATCTGTTTATATCAAACGAAGATAATACATTATATTGTGAATCTTGTTTTAAAGGCGTTATATTTCTATGCAAATGCAATGACGATGCATGCGGATTAAATCTTGTTGATTCATTCTGTGATCTATTATACACGTATCTATGATTTCTATGTGACCATCTTGATTCAAATGGTTTTCTACGAAATGAGTTTGTTTGATATTTTGATGCTTTCCAATGAGATTTCTGCATATCATCAGAATTAGGATATTCTGATTGACAGTGTAATGATGTATTCACATATTTTGCATTTAATTCATGATCATGTATTTGAGTATTATCAGATTGTTGAACATTTCGAGTTTGTAACATATTTATTTTTCCTGTATTTCCTTGCAAAGAGTTCGTTAATTCTGTGTTACATACTTCTGAAATATTTGACAAAGTAATAGACGTACGATGTGGAGAATTGGCGTCTTCTTGTGATTTTTTATCATTATCTTTTTGCGATTTACTTTCTGTTACAATCTTATCATTAATAATCGTCATAGATTCATCGCTTAGAATGTTTCCTTCAATATCTGTCGTATCAACACCTTTAATACTATTTCTTACTTCATTGACATTGTCATGTATAAAATTAAATCCATTTCTAGCTTCATTAATGTCATCATTTTTATCAGACTTCACATTGTCCGAGTCAATCTTATCTAAATCTTTAAAATTATTAAAAGAACGATTAAGTTCAGGCTGTTCATCCCCTAACTTAAGTATAATTTTGTCTTTTATGTTAGACGATGATACTATAGACAGATCATCTCGCCAAAGATTAGTAATATCTTCGTTGGTAATGATAGATAATTTTTCTTTTAATCGAACTGCAGTCTCAGTGATTTTCTTTTGACGTTCTTCCTCAGATCCAAGTAAAGGAATTGATTGTAAACATTGATTACGTTTAATATTTTTTGATTGATCTTCATCGTGTAACTTTTGCATAGACATTGTTTTAATGCTTCCACCATGTTTATTATGATTTGAGGAATATGGCACGATGGATGATCTATTAGAATCAGGAAAACGTAAATTTTCTCTATGAATCGTACCCCATCCTCTGCCATGATGACGAAAATGGGATACACCACGAAATATGGGACGTTGAAATTTAGCATTGCTCCAAGAGGGAAAACGTAAATCGTGCTTTGATCTTCCTGACCAATTCTCTGGTGTCGGTAATCTATTATGGAGTAAACGGGGATGATTAAAACGAGGGTGAGATGAACAGGTCCCACGATAAGCACCAATTGGGCCATTTGGATGAATACTCCGTGGTTCAATGCCCTGTTCTCGAAAACCAGATCCACTCATTACACTTTACAGTACAGCACTTTGTTATCCTTTGTACATTTATTGCACTTTTTATAATTTTGTATATAAAATCAATAAAGTACAGATGAATAAAACAATTTACATTATTCATTTACTTAACAAAGTTTGTATCGCTGTACTGAACGTGAATCTTTATAAAAACACTTAACTTATTTGCATATAACATCATGATACTATTGTGTATCAATTATTTAATAATTTAATTTTTCAATCATAAACAATTTTTTTAAAAGAATCTGAAATATATAATGGAATTATACAAAGATGTAAAATGCACAATATAATTTCAAATTTAAATTTGAATTCGAATATTAAATATTCATCTTTAATGAATCAAATTACGAAATGCAATTAAGAAAATTGTACTTTTCTTATTAACCATACAATGATATTAAACCAGTTGAATTGACTACCTCTGTTTACACGTTCGCCATGTTGCCAGTTGAACGCGCGTGTCAATCGCTATTAATTATTAATTGAAATTGTTCTTCCTTCGATCACTATTTTTATGTCGTTAGTAATATTTTATATTTCATATCAGGAGTAGAAATTTTACACAAAATTATCACATCTAAACGAAATCGTTTTCTATATATTACAGTATATATCAGAATTTAATAAATGATGAGATTTTATTTTGAACAAAGCTGCAATAACAATTATTCTTCTCTATTTGTAATTTATAATTAGTACTTGTAAATAGAAACAAAATAATCACGATATCCAAAATCTATCACTGTTTTAAAAAGTATGTAGATTATACATATTTGATGTAATCACAACTTTAATGCCTGGTCACATGAGGTAAAAACATAGTTAAAGCATTGACTATAAATGTAGAAAGACTTCCAAAACAGTCAATAGAATCGCGCCTTAATTTAAACGCAGCCTTTACTTGTAATAAATGACATTTTATTTTACAATAAAATATAATCATCATTTAAAGTCAAATATAATGAATAACGATCGCATAATTTAAATGAATATGAAATTTATGTACATATAATTGTATTTATATACTACCAAACAAATAAAACGAATAAATTTTAAAGTATACAGTTATACCTTAAATTCGTTTCTTTACCTAACCTTTTACCCATGTATAAGAAAATATATAATAAGAAATAATCAAAATTGAAATAAAAAAATGAAAAATACAATATTACAACAATATTTACTACCATTGAGTATATACTACCGATTGATTGTTTAGAATGAAACTCTGAAACAAACCATCGAAGAAGAAAGAGAAAAATGTACTGATGCTTCCGACTCTACCGCCAATTTAACAAGAAACCGTCAGAGCATGTTTTGCTGCAGCTAAATTAAACAATTGCAAACAAAGAAGATATACTATTGGGTGTGTATATACGAGTGTCTTTTAATAAGAATTAAAAGTGCGCCCGTTTACGAAAGTCTGAGATCTAGACAAATTTTACCTTTATCCTGTAAAGATACCCTCCAGAAATACATCCAGAAATTAGATAGCGCTTTTGGTTTTTCCAAAGCTCTCTTTGAAACCTTTTTATTGAAAGGTTCTCGCATGGAAGTTTACAAGAAAAGGGGTATACCTAATGTCATTTGTGTCATTTGGCGTGTCACAGCAAATCGTAGAACTAATAATTATTACAAAACATACTTGCAAATTAACAACTAAACCACACTAATGCTTTATGATAAAATACTTGCTGAAAATACTAATAATAGTAACAAGCTACTGGAGATAATTTTTCAGTAATTAATCTGCTTCTTAGTTCGTTCTATCTTACCGGCCTTTGCTACTGCTCTTCTTTCCTTTGATAATTGTATTTATCACTTTTTAGTCTTCTCATTAGCTTCGTAAACACTTACAATGTCATATTCCGAATAACACATATATTGATAGACATTATTTTTTTCCATTTCATAGGTACTTTACTGCTCGATGAAGTAGCTTTAAGCGACGCTATAAAATTAAATCAACGAACAATGCAGCTTCATGGTTTCAATTTATGTGGGAAATAAAGGCCTGGTGTTAATTGATTGTAATTCCTTTAAACAAAAAAATCAAATTTTATTAATTAATAAATTAACTTAATTTAAACTCTTTATTCTGGTTTTATATATTGTGGTTAACTGTCTAAGTTAATTGACAATTACATTTTACATGCAGTATTATTCATTTTTATACTAATTGAGTTAAAGATAAATTGATTCCATTTCACAATTTTTTTATAGATATATAGGATGATTTATCAACATTTTTTGTATGCTATTGTTATTTTTTCTTGACTTTGTGATATCATAACCAATTATTCCATTTTCTTTAGTTTATAATTTTTTATTTGCTTCGTCGACATATTTATCTATTTTTTTCCTAAGTTAAAGGTACAACTATATATATTTGAAAAATCTGATCCGTCAAATCGACGCGCTCTCTAATGGCAATAGAAATTATCCTCTCATAGTGTATATACGTAGACACATTTATAACAACGCAATCGTCCTCCTTGTATATAGGCTTCGTGGTAGTAACTAAGATGAATCTGATTAGGAAAAAAATGGACTTGTGAGCTTCTATGTACTGTATTTTTTGATTCTTTGTAATAATTTAACTTATTAGCCGGTAAGTAAGAACGTTCCTGGTTTTCAGAAATGATCGAAAAATGGTGTACATGAACGTGTTGGTGGTATTTTTTTTAAATGGAATTCTGCTACAGTATTTTTTATGAGAATTTATTGATTTATTTGTTATTTCAAAAATAAAATGATTTAATACAATATATCCTGATCGCGAGTTGTAATTATAAAATCCTATAACTTATTACTAGATTCAATGAGTAATTAAACATTTTTTTATTTAATTGTAAAAGAAAAAATAAGCCCTTCTTAATATTTACTGATTTACATTACAATTCCTATATCTCTGCATTACAGATTAGGATTTATATAACATGAAATCATTATATTTACATTTAATAACGAATTTATAATCACGATTTGAGATGTTCTCTCAAGTCATCCGTTAAACCACCTAAACCAATAGATGTAAAAAAATTAATAGCAAAGCGTGTATTTTTTGGATTATCTCTGGGAAATAATCCACTGAAAGCTTCTTGTAATGTTACATCTTTAACTCTTTGATTAAGTTTTGAAAGACCCATGTATTCGGAAAGTTCTTGGAATAATATTTTAATAAATATTCTATTAGAACTGGTAGTATCTTCTTCGTTTAATTTTATACACGACAATACTTCCCATGATATAGAATCGGTAAATAACAAATGAGCAAAGAATTTGGATACGTTCCTTAACTTATTAGTATCTAATCGATGTATTGTATGATAAGAATCTTGAAAAATTTGTTCAAAAGGTGTAACATAAATTTTGTTAATGGCACAAAATCGTCCTGCTAACAATCCAAAAAATTTTTCGTACGTACGCATTTCTGCGCAACAATCTAGAAACATATGACAAAGTTCTATTTCTTGCCCTGGCTTAAGCTGCATTTTCATTAATTTATGGGCACATTCTTCAAAATCGAGCGAAGAATGTATAGTCAAATAAATAGTTCTTCTAAGAGCGGTTAAATTAGTTTCTGTATTGTCTACAATAACACCTTCTTTTTCTTCGGTATTCTCAGCATTGCTATCTTCTTCGTCGGAACTTCCTTCCTCATTTTCACTGCCTTCAGAATCACTGTCGTCCGAACCAAGAATTTCGTTGCTCAATTGTTTATATTTTTCTTCATTAGCCACATAATCACTGTCAAACTTGAAAACATTTAAAATGTCTTGCGAATCTATTGCTTCATCTAATTGTATGAGATGCGTGAATTGATTTTCTTCTTCTACAAGATCTAATTCTTGAGGAACTGCTGGGTGATCTTTAAAGCCATCCTTTCGAATTTGAAACATGACTTCAATCATATATTGTACACGCTTATCCAATTGACCCTCGTGCAATATATTTCTCAACATTTCAAAAATAGCTTCAATACCTTTACGAGATACTTCTGTTAACTTCATACCACATTCTTTCAAGAACGCTATGGCAACTTCTACGGAATCATCCGTTGGTGTCTCGACGAGTAACGTCAAAATCTCTAGAGGTAAAATTTCGTGTGCCACGCGTTGATTCAAAAGATGCGCGACAAATGTTCCAGATGATATACAGAGAGGTTTGTCATTTCTACGAAAACCACGCTTAAACTGTATAATAAGACGCTTTAATATGAGTTCCCCGATATTAGGAAATTTAGAGTTAATAATAGCTGTAAGTGCTGCATAAACAGGAGTGAAAGTTGGAGAAGCTGCTTGAGCTTGTATAATAGAACGAGCCAACAAACCTCTTCCTCTAACAATATTTTCTCTTAAAAGTTCCCTTGTTATAAGACCAATATTGCTTACATTAACTTTGTTAATACAACCATGAATAGATTTCTTTAATGCTTCCCATGCAATACGTTGATAAGCAGCACCAGACTTGTCAGTGATATTTGCTTGCATCATGCGCAGTTTAGCTGGTGGTATGTAGGCACCTCCTGTTTTTGCTGTTAGGAGATCATGAGTCCTCTTCCGATTCTCTGGCATTGTTTCTGTTGCGGTTTTTCTTTCTGAATGTTTCTCTGGTCTTCTTTCTGAATGTTTGTCTGAATATTTATCCGAATGTCTATCTGAATATTTATCCGAATGTTTATCTGAACGTCTTTCCAAACGCCTATCTGAACGTCTCTCCGAACGTCTATCTGAATGTCTATCTGAACGTCTATCCGAATATCTATCGAAATATCTGTCTGAATATTTATCCGAACGTTTATCCGAATATTTTTCCATGTTTTTTTAATTATATAGCTAAATTTGTTCAATATGCACACAGAAGAAAACAAAGTTTAACCCAAATTTACAAGCATTCAAAGAAAACTGGAACAAGTGTACCGTATCACAACGTTTATCACTGCGCCATCTACGTTACATTTATCGAATTAAATTCTCTCTCTAGACATCTGATATTTATATTATATTATATTATAAATATGTGTTAAATACTATATTGTAATACTATTACATTACAATATTTACAATTTTACAAATTTAATTTCTTTTCTATTTTGAATTTATCGTAAAATTTAGGACTAAATTGTCATATTAGCCTTATTGATGAATCCACCAATAGAAACGATTCTGAAATCCAACAACCAATAAAAATCAACCCTCGTTACATGATATATATATGTACATATATATATATATATATATTAATGTTACTTCATCGATTATATTTGAACTATAAAACGCTATTCTAGACTATCCTCGGAATATCTATGGAACTTGTAAACTTTTCCTCACAATCTCTACAAGTATAGTTGGGGAATGACCTAATCGTCTTGTCGACGGCCATTTTTGGTTGCATTGTGGAAGTGTTACCAGTAAGTCATCGATATTTAATTTCAGTTTAGAATAAGATGTTTTTCTAAAATGACTTCTATTCGAATGTTTTTGAATTATTATTTTAGAAGAGTTTTCGATTAATTTATAGTTTTATGTAGTCGATATTTTCGTTTTATTTTAACAGTTATTTAAATGTTATCTAACTTTCTGCATATATATTCACGTAAGATTTTACGTATTTTCAAAATTTATCATATGTGTTTAAGAGTGTAACAACATAAGAAACACAGTGTAAATGAAATATATTATAATTTAAACAATTTGAACAGTTATAAACTTTTTTCGACAATCTGTCTTCAAATTGCATACTTTTTAATAAAATTGCATATTGTCTATTTGTATTGTTTTGATATTTAATTTAGTACTTATTTAACAAAAAATCAGAATTTAATAAATAATTATTTAATAATAATCTTTTGTCAACAATAAATTAATTTTTTAAATCACCTGTGTAAAATCATTTTACTTAGAAGTTTTAATTCTTTTTTGTTAAAATCATTGTAGACAATTTTTGTTACAGCAAAGAGCAAATAATACTAAGAGTATATAGAAAATAAGTGTTCTATTAATTTGTGTATTACAAATTTTACATTGCAATAAAATATGAAATTTTCATATGTTTTCAATAATTGTTGCAGTAAAAGATGAATAACTTAATGAATAGCCGTGCTATTCTAGCTTGCTTGCGTCAAAGTAATAAGCAATTTACAAGGAACTTGCAAAATGATTTAGCTACTATCGGTAACAGAGATATTGTCGGTCCTGGACATAATAACGGTCTTTCATATATAGATCGTACTGATTTTCCAATGCCCGCAGTTCGTTTTAGGGCTAATACTCCAGATGTGCTGGTATTTATATTTATCAAAATGAAAATTAGAATTTTTATACTTTATTTATAAGTTATACATATTAATATTATTCATCTAGGCTTTGAGAGAAAAAGAAAAGGGAGATTGGAAAAAGCTTACGATAGAAGAAAAAAAGGCATTGTATCGTGCCAGTTTTTGTTCTACTTTTGCAGAAATTGACGCACCTACGGGAGAGTGGAAACTCATGTTAGGATACAGTTTAGCTATTGCAGCTGTCTCTATATGGTATTTTATGTTCTACAAAAAATTCGGTAAAATACTATTCTATGTGTTCTTAATATATTTCTATTACTACTTTGTGCATATGTAATGCGGGTATTATGGATAAGATAAATATTCATTTTTTATTTTAGTATACCCACCCCTACCAGAATCATTCGATGAAGAGCATCAACTTGCTCAATTAGATCGTATACTAAAAGTCGAAATGAATCCCATTACAGGATTACCTTCAAAATATAAGTAATATGTAAATTATATTTAAATAAGTATGTAGACAAGAATGCAATTGTACAGTATCATAATGTAAACGTTCCATGTACAAACTGTCTCTCTGAGAAAGTTTAAATAAATACTTTAAAACCACAGGATTTTCTCTTTACATCTCAATACATATTTTTTTATTATTATACTAAATATAAATTAACAAATAAATATACATGCAATAAAAATATATCGTTGCATTTGAAAGATTGCTCTATAGTTTATTTTCTACTATATTTTCATAGACGATGATAAAAATTCTA